TATTAAAGAAAATCAGTTCATATATATACAGACTAACAACCTTCTGACCTTTCTTGCCAGAATACACATGATAAGGGTAATTGCCAGAACTGTTATTTGTTCTCATTTTATTAAGTCTGTTTTTACAATAGGTATTTGAGATAACTACTCTGATGGCTATTTCTCCAGATGTCTGGTTTAAATATACCATAAAACATGCTGGGTGGTGTATCCACTAACACCATAAAGTGATGAGTAGCAGATTAACATTAAACAATGTGTTAAAGGAGAAAATGTTTCTAAATTGGATTTTCTAGGGTTAGTTGCAACCACCAGAAATAATTAAAACCGCAATAATTGAAAAAGGATTTCCTTCCATATGCTGTTTACTTTTCCGCTTTATTCAGTTTTTAAATTCTGGGATGCTTTCAGAGTAAGGATATTCAGGTTTGGTGCTTCTGATGCTGTGCAATGGAGGGAATATGTTTGTGCTTCCAGAGCTGGGAAGGAATCACAGATGTTCTGTCCCTGCTCCTTATCCACTCCCTCATTATGCACAGACACTCTGCCCTTGCATGTTAGGTTATTTTACACAGAAGTGAGATGCACAGCACCATGATGAGTGTACATTGTTGGTAAAAAATAAGAGCTTTTATGTTCTCAATATTCCTACTCCAAATTTGTGCCTTTGAAAATCTCTTCTGTATCCTAAAACTGTATCCTGTTGGACCTACACTGCCAGTAAACAACTCAGACTTTTAGTCTCTGGAAAGAGTCAATAGTCTTTAAATCTATGAATCCATAATGCTTTTTATGAAACACACTTTCATACATTCTTTTAAGCAGTATCTCTCCCTTCTTCCTCCCACGAAAAACATTGAACACTTCATAGTTTTTGTGTGCATTGCTTTGTTGCCATCACCACTACCCTGGTTATACATTTCAGCTTTGGTGCCCTGCTTTAACTTTTTCTATAACTCCTAAACAATATTCTCCAGCTACTTATTCCCTTTTTTCTGTTTTAAATTTTTTTTTACCCCATTATTGGAAAGTTTTTCCTTTCTATCTATTCCACCAAGTATTTTTCAACAACGGCATTTGATTTCTATGATTTCCTTTTCTAGTAACTTGTATAGAGAAAATATACTTTGACAGATACTTCAGGCAGATAATGAGTATTTTGGAGATGGGTGATCATGTGGTACTTGAAATCCCTGCTGTAATGAGTAACAGCCTTTCCCCAACTGGATGTGTTCCATTTCACTTTGTTTAAATGTCTCTCAGCTTTGCAGACTCTAGAGTAGGACTGAGATCTTCTGGAAGGTTTTCAATTAGCATGGTATTCCCAGACTATCAAAGCAGAAATGTATCAGAAAGAGGAAAGAATAAGCAAACAATTAACAATTTTATTTCAAAATCCTTAAACAATATTGGTTACTTAGCATAGCAAGAAACACAGTTTGAATGGAGCCTAACAAACTAATTTTGATGGTTCTGTGTTTGTTAACCATTGTTTTTTTCCCTTTAAGTCAATACTGTGCATTTTTTGATTTCTAAGCAGTATAGCAGAAATAAGTGAAACATTTTAATTGAAAACTGAGCTTGTATATAACTGAGCTTGTGTATAACATAAGGAAAAAAAACCAACCAAGCTGGGCGGAAAAAAATGTTTTCTTTGTATTAACAGATGATGAAAAGTTCTCTTCTCTGAGGAAACAATGATTTTCATTTCTCAGTACCATTGTGTTATGACTCCTCACAATGCTCCAGAAATCATTTTTCCTGGACTTTGGATGTTTATGTTCTTTTAAAACCTGAGATCATGGAATGGCAGCACCTGCTACACAGGATAGTGGCCCCTGAATTTAAACCATTTGATGAAGTGGGAGCTCCTGACCTGTGGAGGGTAATTATATTGGTTGAAACACAGCCCTTTGAGACTGGATAACTGATGACTGCCTTCTGCAGTTTCCTGTCAGGTGGAAGCAGGAACAGGCATTAATCTACTGAGAGGAAAGATTCCAAGGGATTAATGTCCTGGTACCTATATGAAGAGATTTTGTAAAAAGCTTGTCTTCTTAATTGGTAGATTTTTCTAGCTGTATTTTATTACTTCTCAGTAGAGTTTAAAACCCACTGTTGCCCAAGTCAGCCAGCATCATGTTGCACCCACAACCTTAGCAGAAATGAAGGGATTTAATGGGTAAAGGAGGGGTTTTGAACTTTACAAAGGTGATCTTTTTTCTATGATCTTTTTACTGTCTTCTTTTACTTGTGGGACAGTGGCTGAGTCTCATTTTCCATGCAGTGTGGCCATTTGTCATCATCTGGAAAAGCTTCCCAGCAGACAGGAATCTGGAGAGATGATGTGAGTTTGACAAGGTTTCTTTCTTTCTTGACAGCTCATCAGCCTACTCCATAACATTTGCAAGAGATTTTTAGGACAGTGAAAGGCTATGGCATAAGATTTTCTTTAATGGATTTCGCTGCTGGGGCTTATTTTCACTAGTAATAGCCCAGGCATCTCCTGAAACTCCAGTGTTTTCTAGCCAACTTGGATGTGAAGGCAGTTAACTTTGGTGTCCTTTTCTCCTGGACAAGTGGACTGGACTCAGCTAAACTTTTCATCAAAGTTAACTGATTAAAAACTGATTATGGGAGCTGGCACTTGGGTCTGAGATTTGGGGAAGGAAAGCAGGGGTTGTTATCTGCTGGTTCTTAAAATCAGTTGACTGAAGGTAATTCCCATGCTTATGTTCTTTGAAGTGCTTCAGCTTCCTTCAGTGTGTGGTGGCTCTTTGTGTCCTCAGTGTTGCAGGAACATGTAACAAGAGACCAGAGAAGCCACAGAGGGCATGAGGGAAGCTGGAATGCCTCAGGATCCATGGTTTTATAATGTGAGAGAATATGGGGGAATGAAGGTGCAGTCAGGTGAAGAGGAACAGGAGGAAGATAGAGATAATGAAGGAGTAGTTACAGCAACACAAAGGGGAGTGGATGAAATGATCATGCAAGAAAGTGGAAACTGGAGACAAGGCCAGAGTACAGAATGGACAGGGAAATTTGGCAATCCCTCCATCCTGTGCCGTGACTGCCAAGAATACCACCATGTCTACAATGACAGAGAAAGCTTCAGTTATGCATACAAACTGTGTTTTGGGCATTGGAGGAGGAAGACCATTTCTTGCCATATTTACCCACTTACCCATACAAAAGGAAAATTCATCCAGGATAAATTTTAGAGAATGGTAATATTTTGCTCAACAACTTTAAAAAAATATGTTCTCTTGAAATGGTGTAAATTTTAGCTGATCATGTGAATATAAAAATATAATCTACAAAGTTACAAATTTGATGCATTGAAAACTAGAGTAGCAAATTGCTTTATGCAGAGTGATGAATATGATGAACCCTATGAAAAGCTGTTATGTTTATAATGGATATGTCTTCAGAATAATACAACAGGCTTTTTAGATTAAGTTATATGCTGTCTCTGTTTTGCTAGAGATAAAAGTTTTTAAGGATTTCCTGTCTTTTTAGTATTTCTCTGTGACTCGCACTTCTCACAAAATTCTTTGCAAATAGAATTAATATAGACATTTTGCAACAGGCATGTTCCATCTTCTGTATAGCAAACTAACAGGATTCAATACTGATGAACAAATATAAAAAACAGGCCATCCTTGGATTTTTTAACACATAACTAAATAATTTTCTTTCATGTAAATCAATTCTGTAGAAGAAAGATTTCATGGTGGCACTGCACATACTAGTAATAGCTAGCTCTGTGTCTTGGAGATTCAGCATCTGACAGGTGTGCTGGTTTTGGCTGGGATAAAGTTATTTATCTCTAAGGTAGCTGGTATGGGGCTGTGTTTTGGATTCGTGGTGGGAATGGTATTGACAACACAGGGCTGATTTAGCTGTTACTGAGCAGATCTTACACAGAGCCAAGGCCTTTTCTGGTTCACACACCTTCTTCCCCCACCCACCAGCAAGGAATCTGGGAGGGAAAAAAGCAGGGACAGCTGGCCTTGATGACCAAAGAGATATCCCCTACCCTGTGGCATTGTGCCTAGCACATAAAACTGGGGAAAGAAGAAGGACGGGCTGGGGGATGTTCACAGTGATGATATTTGTCTTCCCCAGTCACCATTACATGTGATGGACTCCTGCTCACCTGGAGATGGCTGAACACCTGTTGCCCATGGGACAGGGTGAATGAATCCCTTGCTTTGCTTGTGAGCATGACTTTTGCCTTATTCATTAAATTGCCTGTATCTCAGCCCATGAATTTTCTCACTTTTGCGCTTCCCATTCTCTTCCCCAGCTTCTTGGAGAATGACTGTTTGGCTGTGTGGGGGCTAGTTGCTTGCTGGGCTTAAACCATAACACTGGTTGACCTTGACTTTCAGCAATAAGCTTCTTTCAAATAAATATCACTTTTCGCAGGTACAAATGGATATTCAGAAAGCACAGACAAACAGTCAAAACCCAAACTCATGAACGAACAGGAGTCATGTGTAATTGTATTTCAGAAATGCCATGAGTGTGTTTTAAGGTACGTGACAACATGCAGGTTTTGTCCTGGTTTGATAGTATTGAAAGCTCATAACATGAACCAGGAAAGCTTTGAAGTACTGCCTCTAGACACAGCTTGTTATTGAAGAAACATATTGCTCCTGCTCAACAAGAAATTCCTCTATTGAACTCTGCTCCAAGTTCCCCAGACAAATAAGCAGCAGCTGGACCTGACATGGGCCTTTCACAAGCTGGAGAACATACCTGCTCTCACCCAGCTAAAGCAGGAGCATTAATACTCTGCAGCAGCTGGGAAAACACGTGTGTGCTGCCAATTAGGAAACCTTTCAAAGTGAGGCTTTGCAGCTCGTCTGTGATCTGCAGACCTCAGCTTGGGAACCATTACTCTCTACTAATGGCACCTGTGGGCCAGGAGGGATGGGAAACTGGGGTTTGAGGGAGCAGAGTCTATTAAGTGCTATGGCAACAGGTAGCAAAGCAGCGTTCTCCCTCTCTCCCTAATTAGTAGCTGTTAGCATCTGGAGTTGACTGTTGGTGGATGTAATTTGCTGCACTCCATCATGTGATGGTGCAAGGATCAGTGAAGGGTGATGCAAGGACCAGTCAAGAGGTAAAAGACATATTAGGGATTAGCTTCTCTATACATACTTTGCAATGCCATATTTAAAATAAAATCGTGCTCCTGGAGGCGTGGGAGTAATATACCTAATATTACAATGTTTTCTACACTGTCTCGATTGTTCTGATTATGTGCTTTGCATTCTTTTGGCAGAAAATACACACTGATCTTTTCACTTGTTTGAAATTTTCAGAAAATGAAAATTGCCTGTTGAAAACAAAATTCCCATGGTAGATCTCAGTGAAATCTTTCCACTTCTATGAGTGATCCAAATCCCTTGGAAAGGGGAGGTTTCAGGTAAGCTCTGGTCCTGTGGCATGCTGATAGAGGGCTGGGAAGTAGCCTTAGCTATGGGGTTGCTCCTGTCTGTAGGAAGAGGAGGGTTCCATGCAATCAGTAGAGTGAAGTCTATGGTGAAATCTTTCTTACCAAAGCCAAAGCTGAATGTTTTCAGACCACCATATTAGATATGATTATTATTAAATAAATTTGATCTTTGGGGTTCAAAATGGTTTGGAGAGAGAGAGAAGGAAATGTATCTGAAGATGCAGTGTATTTGCAAATATATTTCCTCATTTCCTGGAGAAACTAAGATAAAAAGAAGAATTTCAGTCTTAAATATTGCATATATTTGGTATGTTTGAAGGCAGGAGTGATATTAGACCACTATGCTCAATTGCATTGATATTTTATGCTTGATTGTAATCATCTCTTTCATTTAGTGCTTGGTTACTACCAAAATCCACTGAATGGCTGGAGAGGAAAAAGGGGCTGGTGCCAAGAGATGTCAAAGGAAAGATCTGTCAGCTGAAACCCAAAACCATTTTCTGTACAAAATAAAATGGGGTGGTTGCTATTCATTGGTGAAGTACCAGAGCTTTCCAGGTGTGATCCTGACATGCTACAAAAAGAGCAATTATGGTTGTGCATGTCTGGTGGCCCAAAGAATATTCAGGTTCCTGCCTGCTTCACTAGCCAGGAGACAGCAGTCCGAGTTGGTTATGAACTGTTGTGAGACTTTATGAAAATCTGCGCATTTACTGTGCATTTTATATTATCCTAATCTGCAAAAAATTATTAATGGCTCTGTTTCTCTTGGTTTATATCAGTTCTACATATTTTCACAATGTAGATGTGTCATGATATATGCCAAGTACAGCCTCCAGGCTGTATCAAGTTACATCAGCTCTTTGCCATCAGCAGATGGACAATGTCTATGATTTAATAAGCACTGTTCTGATTATTTATGTACTTATGTTTTCTTTTATTGTTTTATGTGAGTTTGAATGAATGATGCAGTAGCTCTGCAGAAACTTATATATTATGAGAAACTGTAAGAAAATAGAAATTTCTTCTAAAACCAGAAGTCATAGTTTATTTATTAGGTAAACAATGTGGCTTAATTGAAGGAGGGCTTTTCCATCTTTAACAGTGCCCAAATAGAACTTCCAGATTTCAAACATCATCAATTTTGTAAAAATAAATTTTAATATCTCTCTTTGTTTTTAGTTTGTGTACCAGCTTGATCCTGAAGGCCTGAAAAAGAGTTAAAACTATCTTTTGAAAATGCAGACAAAATTGTAAAATCGATGGGATTTTACGATTGAGAAATCTAGGTGATGATGGGGATTTGAAAATCCCACTAGATACCCATTTGTGTTTTTAGAAATGCATCTTAAATTCTGCAAAACTCTAATTTACTCATTGGGCATTTGTGACAGCAGATTTAGGGATCTGCAGGTGCTCTAATAAGAAATCAGAGTACCTTGCAGCAGCACAAATGTCTTATGCAATATCTTCTGTGTTATACAGAAGCTTTAAACTAGGGTGGGCGCTGCAGGAACGACTCAAAGCAAAAGACTTGTGAAGCTTGAGGAACAGGAGCTCCAAAAGGACCATAGGGGAATATTTGATTAGGGGAGTTTTGGTTATCATTGCTGTTTGGTGCATATGTTTTACAAAAGATAATTTTTTTCCCAAGCCCAGATTCAGCAGTTCAATGAATGGCAGTGGATTAAACCCTATTGACACATATGATAAAGCAATACTGAAGTAATTGCTTGGGATTCAAGCATTGTCTGTGAGACATACAGATTATAGAGGGGAGAAAAAAATTTATACAAACCACACAAAAATAGTCTTAATCACTACACTGGCTTTTAGTGCCCAAATCCTTGAGAAGGAGAAGAATGGCAGACAAAGGGCAAATGACAAGAAAGTGAAATAACACAAAATTAATCCTTATGTTTTCCCTTATCTCCAAGTCCTGCCTGTCATTTTTCTACATTAAAAATGTATTTTTGAAGTACCAATTCATTCAACAGATACATGATACCTATATCAAAGGTAGCCTAATGCTTTGCAGGACTAAGATATTCCCAGCTGCAGGATTTTACTGGCTGAGATTATGGAAATTCATTTGTACTGCTTTTTTAGCTCAGTGGCCCACTATACTTGCACCACTTTTTAGCCTGTAAGAACAGTGACACTCATTTTATGAGAATGAGGTTGTAAATAATATGCTTTTTAAGTTAAGTTCTGTGTTTTCCCCTGGCATTCTCCTCTGACAGATCAGACAGAGCTGGGCCTTGAGGATTCTGCTTCACCTCTCAGTCCCTAAGAGCACTGCTGGCATGGTGTTGGTTTTCCTTTGCCTGCATGTTTAAGATAGTTCTTCTGAATGTCCACTCATTGCCACTGAGCAATGGTCTCTAAAATTTGTGCAGAAAGCAATTATCTCTTGCCTGGATTGACATACAAGCTTGAAAAGCAATTTTGGATTTCCTTCATTAATATACTCTGATGTGGGTTTTAAAAATCCTATTTAAAAGGAAACCAGATTAGTGAAAGTCAAAAGATCTCAAAATCTGGCATGCATTTACTCTATCTGTAAAGGTTTTTCTAAAAGATGATGTTTTATCAATATCCAAGGTGTCAGTCATGCCAAACACTGAAAGGCAGAGAACAGTCCAAGGTAGAGAAAATTTGGTAATTGTAAAACTTTAATAAGAACATTTATTGTTATTTTAATTGGGAGGTAATTAGATTATTTTTTGCTTCTTTTGTGAAGGTAGATATACAGAACCTTAGCGAGGCTGTGCAATGTGGTATTGCTTCTTATGTCTACAAATTCTTTAACAGAGAGGATTATCCTACTTTCTAATTTGCTTCCTCTGTTATTTTAGAGATGGAAATGAGCAGTCTTTGTATTAATTTAACCAGAAAGGCACAGCTGTCTACATAGGGACTGAGTATATGATAAACTTTTAAGAGGAGCACACATGTAGTCAGTGTGAGAGTGCTACTGGTCATTCATTACAATTTTTGATTTACCATACAATTTTGATATGTTCTGTACTGCAGTTGTTGGTAGATAAGCAACAACGTTGTGAATTGTGGTGCACAAAGTCATGAGCATTTTTATAGGGAAGTATTGTGGTTGTTACAGTCTTAGTATATTTATTGAGTACTAGAAAAAGCAGGAATAGGAGACCTGTAGCAGGGCTCAGTCAATTTGGAAAGTCAAATTCTGTCCTTTTGAAGAATTTTAAAGGCACAGAGAAGTGAAGTTATCACCCAAAAATATCTAGACATGGGTTAGTGGTGAACACAGTGGTGCAGGGACAACAGCTGGGTTCCATGCCCTTAGAGGCCCTTTCCAACCTTAATGATTCTCTGTTGAACTGCAGGGATAAGTTTTTGCATTCTACTTACTTGATCTTATTATTTATTTTTATTTTTAAACAGAAATGACAAGAAGCAGAACAGTTGTTCCTTAGCATTATCATGTGGCTGTAAACATTAGTGTTCACTGAGGATAGCTGTGAGGAGTAGCTAAGCTGTCTTGAGCGGGGCCTGAACACACTGTCATCTCTGCTGCATCAGCCAGAATAAAACCACGTGCCTTGTGTATGTGTGGGGAGAGAAATTTGCTGTGCAAGAGTCTCTTCATGAGGAGCAGGGATGGCTGGAGAGGCATGAAGGAGAGAGAAGCAGCGCCAAGTGGAGCGATCAAGTTTTAAGTGCACAGCCCCAGAGAAGCTCTCAAAGAGAGCTTTGTGGCTGAATGGGAACAGAGGTGGCTCCTAACATTTCCTGAAGAGCCCCCCTCCAGGGAAGGTTCTGCACCAGCTGCTGTGCCAAGGGTGGGTACAGCTGCAAGTGTAGTTGAGCTCATCACAGGCAAGGGAAGAGCGAGAGCCGAGACCACAGCAGATCTGCTGGGGCCTTCTTGAGGAGTAAGGCTGGGTTACTTCACAGTGCAATGGCCCTGAAGTGGAGGTTTATTTCTCTTAACACATGGTATTTTTAGTACCTTTGGAAACTTCTGTTTAGGCTCTCAGGTAACTCTGAGTTAAAATGGAGGCACTGGCAGATTTTCAGCACGCTTGGGTATGTGGTGATGTTTTCAGGCAGGTACTTGTATGATTTCAGTTGACAGTCAACACAGCACGGTAGAGATGACCATCCATGTTCTTCCTGCAGGCACTGTGGTGCCTCCAAGGGCTCTCATGTATATTCATAAAATTATGGAATCATTTAGGTTAGAAAAGACCCTTAAGGTCATTGAGTCCAAGTGTTACCCATTGTGACCAAGCCCTAAGCACTAAACCATGCCTCTAAGCACGGCATCTTCACACCTTCAAAATACCTCCAGGGATGACAAATCCACCACTTTCCTGAGCAGCCTGTTCCAATGCTTGACAGCCCTTTCAGTGAAGAAGTTTTTCCAAACATCCAATCTGAACCTCCCTTGGTGTTACTTGAGGCCATATCCTTTTGTTCTGTCACTTAATACTTGGGAAGGGTTGTTTCATTCACCTCATTGCTAAGAATCTCAGTGCTTTTTCTACCTCTATCCTACTGCAAGCCATCTGGGCTGCCAGAAAGTCTGATCCAGAAGCATCCCAGAAGCACTTACCCCACTGCTAGCAAGGACTTCCTTGCATTTGTCCTGTCGGTAAGTGGTCTGCAACAGGCTCATCTGTAAGAGTATCATGCAGACTTTAATGGAAGATTTTGGGGCTGAATGAGGTTTTCTGTGTGCACTCTGACCTCCCTGCAGCAGTGCAGGTGAGCAGGCTGAGGCTTGCAAGACCAAAATAAATGGATGGTGTGAGAAGCAGAATAACCCATGGAGCTCCCAGCAAGGGAGTAAAGCAATTAGCTGATTTCAGGGACTTTTCAACTGGTGCCAGCAATATTTTGTAGTTAACTGCTTGAGAACACTTTAGTGGGACCAAGTCATTCCCCAGACTTGTAATGATAGACATTGAGGTGTTAATTTGCAGAATGCAAAATGGAGCCAGATGACTTCTGGTTGAGAAGATGCTTTGCCTTCATTTTTGGTTCCCATCAAGGTCTGCTTCTCAGCATATATCCTCTCTGCAAGGTAGCCACATTTGACAATTAAGGCACAACAGTTTGGCATCAACTAGGACCAGCATCATAGCAGAGATCTGCAAACCCATATGCCATCTGTTCTGCTCTCTTCAAAGTTTTGGCTTTGTTATAGTTTTGGCAGTCAACTGAAAAAGGAAATGGTTATTGAAATCTGAACTTAAGTTTCTCGCCAGCAAACCGCTGCTTGCTTAACCTTGAAATACAATTTCTACTCTGTTCCAAAGCAGTGTAGGTGTAATGGGGGTAAAATCACTTTGTGGTATTACATGAAGTGAGTGGACATTTACTTGTACCAGCAGCACTTTTGTGACAGGACTGGGAAGATTCATGTAGCCCTCAGACTGGAGGAGAAGGTTAGTAGTAAGGAAAGGATATCACCAAGGCAAGAGAACAGAAAAACAGTAGAGGTAGAAGTATTGTTAATACAGACTGAAATGAAATCCAGACAAATCTGTGAAACCTTTTCCTTTTCCATTTGTCTCCATACTCTCAATACATCTCTTTATATTATACTCCTATCAAAAGTGAAGGATATTAGTCACTCATCTGTAACAAACATGGAAATTGAATAATTAATGACAGATTAGAAGATTGGTTTTTTTGTCCTCAGTCAGTCCTGGACACATCTGGATTTTTCCTTTGTTTTTTTCCTGTTTTGCACATGTGTGTTTCATTTTGTACATAATTTCTCTGCAACCAAGAGGACAGAAAACAGTAGAAGTAGAAACATTGATAGTGCAGACTAAAATGAAATACAGTCTCTTGCTATACAAGGGCTCTCTGTATTGCTAACATGGTCTACAAGGTCCTCACCCAAGACACAGGTTTCTCTTTTTGGCTGTTAGCT